TACTACTATAGTAGTAGTAGTATATAACTACGTACGTACGTACGTAGTATAAGTACGTAGTACGTACTCTACTCTCTACTACTACTACTATACTACTACTTCTCTCTCTCTCTCTCTCTCTCTCTCTCTCTCTCTCTCTCTCTCTCTCTCTCTCTCTCTCTCTCTCTCTTGTCCCTTAAGGGGTGGCACGCACCACCCTAGAGCGCTTGGGGTGACACTCCACCCACAGGGTCATAGAAGGGCATGCCCTATCCACTTTGAAAGAAAAGGAGGTGCCACCAAGGTGATATGCCCTAAGAGTCTATAAGGTTATGGAAAAACATAATTTGTGCTCTCAAACCCCTAGATCTAAAAAAGGTATTGTCTAAGGAGCTTCGCGACTCAAAGAATTCAGCAGGACCAATAGGATCAAGCATGTGCCTTTCGGGCAAGTAATCGGGTGTAGGGAAGTGACCCTAGGCAAAGTCAAGTTAGTCTTCCTAGCTGTTCTAAGTTTATCTTAATCATAATTGTTCCATCTATTACAATTTCCAGGAGCATTATTTGTATTAGAATTAATAGTTAAAGCTAGTATTCAGTTCTGGATTTAGTCATATTCATTTAGCAGTAGAAATAGAAGATCCTAGCTTGTATTTTAGGTTGTATCTCTTGTTTACAGCATTGTTTTCTTGCACTTGTTAGTGGAATTCAAATATATTAATTAAAAAAAAAGAACTTTTTATTTTACTCTATGGAATTTCACATAGCCACTTCATTCACCAATTTGGATGTACCCATATTTAAATTTTGTTTTGGATTTCAAGGAAAAAAGTTTGAAATGGCTGGTGGGAACCATTTGGATAATCCTGTAAGATTTTATCCTCTTCCAAAAAAATCTCGCTTTACCCCCAAACCCCACCAAAATCGTGAGCCGAAAGATTTTGAGCTGGACTCAAATATTTTTGGCTTAAAATAATTTTTGCTTCCCCTGTTGGGCCCTCCCTCATGGCATTCTTACTCTGCAGAAAATCCCTCGCACTTACAAAAGCTGTCTCCCTCTCTCGATAAAGTCTCACTAGCTCTCTCTCTCATTGGACTGGTTATCTCTCACTCAAGTCTTTTAAGTTCTCTCTCTCCCCCACAGGTTGGTCAAGGACGTTCTCTACTCTCTAAACAAGTTGTTCCTCACAAACCTCTCTCTCATCAGCAAATCAATCCCCCTCTCTCATTTGCAGATCAGTGAACCACTCTCTCATTAGCAGAGCAAAGAACCTTGATGCCATGTCAGCTCTGATGCCTTTATGTGCTCTGTTCCTCTATCTACTTTTATGTGTGATGCTTTTTATGTATGGAAAATGTTTATATAAGGGCGCACTTCAAAAATTCACTAGAAAAGGTTGCTTCGGTGCCCAAAAATGTTCAAATCGATCATCTCGACCTAAAGATCTATAGGCATGCGAAAAAATGGATTTCTTATATTGGAAATAGTGCATCATGTAATGCATTTTCTAGACGGTCAATTTCATGATTTTCAAGCGATCATAGATCTGCACGATCTACACTACTTTTGAAGCTTTAAATTTTATAATTAAATATAAAAATAAAATTTCAGGCCATCACAAAGATTTCTAGTACTGAATGTATTTCGACACCATTTGAAGGTGCGCTTTACTTTAATTGTTTAGGGCCTCAGCCTTATACAAACCGCACCCTTTATGTATTCTTCTTTGGCTGCTCAAGTTAAGTCTTTACTTTTTCCAATTGTTCTACACTAGTCTAGGAGGCTAGGGTTTCTAGTGCATGTTTCAATTTGAGTGAGATAGAGCTGAAAATTAATGAAAGTTGGGAGTGCAACATGAACAATCTTGAGTCCTTCCAATTTCCATGCCATCAAAAGAGAAAAACTTATTCTCAAAAAAAAAAAACGAAGAGAAAAACGTACCTAGGAAAATGTGAATTCTTGATCATAAATTCAGCTCATTTTGATCTTGATTCTAGACAATTGTGCTGTAAATCATTTTTTAATGACATTACGTCAATTCACCATCTAATTCAGCAAGGTCGATAGAATGATTGTCTGATTTTCTATGATCAAACAGATTGATCAAACTTCAATCTAATTGATCAATTCTCTTAAAGCAACTTTTTAAATGATCTATGTCAATTTAAAGCTAAAATAAACTCTTGGTTTGACTTTATTTAAAGATCAAAACCCGAAGACAGAACTATCACTAGTTTTAGTTTTGATGCTGTTACACAATAACAGTGCGTTCATTCATTTGAACCAGTGTCTACTTGATCAATTCTACTTCAAACTGATTAATTAACTCAAACAAATGTTCAACGTCAGTCAATACAAGAAGATGTGATGAAAATATTAAATCCCATGTTCATGTTCAAAAAAAAAAAAAGATATTACATCCCATGTTATAACAACAAAAAATTATAGAATTCTGTTGTTGTTCCTCAGTTGCGTGATCAGCAGAAAATTAATTCAAATTCTTTATAAAATTAGAAATGTAATTTAATTTAGATCATTGTAAATGGTCTCTTGAAGCTTAATTCATTCTCTAATGGAAAAGATAAACAAAACTATGGCAATTAGATTTAGAACTACAATTTTGTGCTGGTTTTTCTGAAATGAAAAATGCCGCTATCTTTTCCTTCCTACCACCCTTCAATCTTTTACTGGATCCCATTTACTTGTTAAGGTAATTCATCGTATTCTAGCAGCAGTGGACTGCAACTCTGCCCTAATGACCATTGAAATGATCTCCAGAATTCCAATTGGTGAGATATGGCCCATCACTGTTACTCTCTTGGTCTCCAAGTTTATGCTGAATAATGTTACGCCTTCCATTTTGGAGATATGCTTCTGCACCTTAACTCTCTTGGTCTCCAAGTGTATGCTGAATGATGTTATCCCTCCCACATTATTTGTTTATCAAACTGATGTAACAACAAAGTCAATATCAAGGTTGGTTAAATTTTATATAATGAGAAAAATGAGGAAAAAAATATGTTCAGAATTATTGCAAAGCATCCAAACACATATATCTAGTAAGTAAAATTTTCTTCTAATATTTTAACAAACATCCAAACAATCTACCAAGACAATAAAATAAGATGACAATATTTCTCAATTATTGAGATAAAAAAGCCTCGCAAATTTTTTGTGCAGATTTTTTTATTTGATATCCAAACTGGCCCTTAGCTTTTGTTTCTTCACCGTATTTGAGGGGGAATGCTCCTATGGAAAAACTGCCTACAGTTTCCATGTAGTAAGAGTCCACATTCGTTGGATACAATCCAACTTTGAAATTTGATCGTGATAATTTGATGTAGGAACTTACCATATCTTGATGTTGGAAAAGTTTCCGAAATTGTAGAATCTCAATAGCAGTGTTACATGGGCTCGTAGCGTTGAAAGTGTCCGACACATGTTGAAAATGTCTGCTGGTCTTGCCTGAATGGTAAATGCGGCAGGATTCATGTGTACCATCATATTTTAAATAAAATAAAACATTTTACAGTGTAAGTTAATATTACCTATATCATCAGTAATGAATGGGTGGCAAAGTAGTAGATCACACATATCTCTCCAAGAAATATTGGGTTTGAGCCCTTTCTGGGCAATATTTTTGCATTTATGTACACCCAAGTGTTGAAAGGTGTTGGCGTGTTGAAATGTCAATTTGTTACACCAGCCTGGAGTGTGATGGAAACACTACTCACTATACAATCACTAGCTGGTGAATTTCAACAGGCATTTCTGTGTGTTTTTGGAGGTCTGGTGAGTTCGGATTTGGGGGACTTCTGTGCTAGATTGAATGTGAAAAGGGCTATAAAACCATCTGAGTTTGTTTTTTTCTTTTTTTCTTTTTTTAAGCCAATGGATATTTGGGGATTAACATTTTAAGAATACCAATGCACCCTCTAAGTCACTTTTTGGGATTGGCAAGGATACATCATTGTCCATCTTCTAGTACTGCAATAGTAGGATGAGTCTATTCAAATTTCTTCTCTCTCTCTCTCTCTCTCAAATTTCATTTTTCTCGTTAGTAAACATCTTTCTCCTGTTTCTAAAGTCTTCTCTCTTCACTCTCTCTAAAAATCTTCTCTATCTCTAGTAGACACTTGATTATGTCTCTCTAAGATCTTCCAGTCTCTCTAGAATACACAGAGGATTTCTCTTTAAAGTTTCTCAATTTAGTAAATACTTCCTGACTGTCACTCTAAATGCTCTGCTTTCTTTAGTAAACACTAGAATCTCTCTATCCTAAGTGCTACTTCCTCTCTCTAGTAAACTCCAAATTCGGGTGATTCAATCATCCATGTTTCATCATTAGGAGCTTAAAAAAAAGGGCGATAATACGGGCATCCAAATTACCCATATTTTGCTACATATGTAAGCATCAACAAACTCATGAAAGACTGGTGTTTCAAGTACCTTTTTTTCATTTGAAAAGCCTTCATTTTTTTCTTTCGGGTTTTAAAAGAGGGGTATTATTATCTTATCACCCTTCTCAAAGGTCGAGGTGCAGGGGATAGCTTTTCCCAAGAAGTTAAACTCGGATAGCCATTACCCAATGAAAACCATTTCAGATGGCTTTTCTCACAGAAATTCCTTCTAAATATTTCAAATGATCATAAAATTTGCAAATGACTCAATTTTCCTGTCAAATTCAGGAACATAGTAGCCGAATCCTAATTTTTTACCCCTATTCTAGGACATCTGCAAATAATTTATTTCATCGTTGATATCAATTTCTCTTGTATTTAGTAAAACATGCTGCAGGGTCTTGAACTTTCTAGCAACTCTGATTTTGTATTGGCTAAATTTATTTCCTTTTGGTAGGTAAGCCACCACCCAATGATAATTGCTTGCCATTGTGAAGGAAGGGGATGGAAACTGTGGGGTGATAGTAATCTTAGGAGCAAGTTTTGGGGCCGCTCCATTCAAGTTGACCCTGTGGGAGTTCTGACCCTGGAGTTTGATGATGGTGAGGTCTTCCAATGGAGTAAGGTATGAGTTTGCTACTTTTATTCATATGAAAGTCCCTGTTTTCTATAGTTAAGGTTTTCTTTTTGTTTCTGGAGTAAAATGCCAGTTTTCTTTTTGTTTCTGGAGTAAAATGCCAGTGGTTTGCTCATACTTCCTACCCAATCTTGTCTCACACTGCATAGTGTAAAACCTCAATTTTCAATTTGTGGGGTATTCTTTCGAGTTGGTTGACTATGCCTGAGATAATTTGAACTCTATAGCATTGCTTGTTAAGGTTAACTAACTTGAGTGTATTTGCCTTGCACAGGTAACAACATCTATCTATAATCTTATTTTCGGCAAAGTATACTGTGACCATCATGGAACAATGCAAATTAAGGGAAACGGCCTTTTTTCTTGTATGCTCAAGTTCAAGGAGCAGTCTCTCATTGACCGGAATCCCCACCAGGTATTGCTTCAAGACAGATGTGTGTTTCACTGAGCATTGGACCATAGGTGAAACTTAGCTTTTTATTGAATTCCCATTGTGGATATAAATTCTTGAATGGAAGTCCTTTTTATTTCAAAAGAACATATGCTCTTTATGCTCAAGTTTGAATTATGAGTTAATGGGGATGTTGAAATTTGAAAATATGAAATTTTACATCATTTCAGCTGAAAAAAGTTCAGGGAACAGCTTTTATACCATTCATGTTGGTTTTGGTGAACATTTTAATTTTGGTTAAAAACTGTTGGTATATTAGGCCGTGGATGGGTTTTGACTGCTTAAAATCCTATGAACTGGATGAGGCTCTTACTTTTAGCTGCTAATAATTTAAGTTGGCATGAATCCTTCACAGGTACAAGGGTTCGTCAATGATAAAATGGGCAAAAAGGTTGCTACATTATTCGGAAAGTGGGACGACAGTATGTATTACGTGGCTGGGGATGTTTGTACCAAGCCCAGGGGATATAACCCTTCTTCAGATGCTACTCTCTTGTGGAAAAGAAGTATGCCTCCACCTAATCTCACTCGATACAACTTGTCGTCCTTTGCCATCACACTCAATGAGCTAACACCAGGGCTGAAGGTAGTATTGGAGATCTCTCTCTCTCTCTCTCTCTCTCTCTCTCTCTCTCTGATTTTTCCCTTATCCTTAATTGATTTTCTGTTCTAGCCATCTGATCCCAAATGTTTGATCACGGATTAAGGACAAAATTCCCCCTACGGACTCAAGACTCAGGCCTGACCAGCGACACCTGGAGAATGGGGAGTATGACATGGCAAATGCTGAGAAGCTGAGGTTGGAGACAAGGCAGCGGATGGTAAGCAGATTCCATGTACTCGCATAGTTCAGTACTGTCCACTGCCCTCAAGCCTGATGCTACCAAACTATTGAACCTGAAGTCATTAAACGCGGCATCATATTTATTTGGTACATGCAAACGAGCATATGTGTACAAGCAAACTATTGTACGTCCATGATGGTCACCATGCATATGTTGGTACATAGGCGCATGCGTAATTCATACATAAGCTGGATAATGCATTACATAAATACAAGCATACGAATAATATACATAAATGTGGTACTTGCATTCTTGCATGTGTTGCATATATATGTTTTGCATTCTTATATGAATGTCAAATAAGCAGGGTAGAGATTCATATGATGAGATGTGGTTTTTGTCGTTGCAGTCAAGGAAATTGCAAGAGAATGGGTGGAAGCCACGGTGGTTTCGGAATGATGTTGGAGAGGGAACATTTCGTTATGTAGGTGGGTACTGGGAAGCAAGAGAAGAGAAGAAATGGGATGGATGTCCTTGTATATTTGGGCAGTTTACAGGAGACGTGATTAGTGATTCTTGAGAAACAAGCAGAAGGATTACATGGGTTAGTAGGTTGCAATCTCTCTCTCTCTCCCCGTTGCTGAACTGTCATCTTTTGGATTTTGAACTGGAGCGGCAGATCTGGAATGGGTTCTGAGAAGGTAACGTGTTATTCAACAACTGAAGGTAGGTGAGGTCGTGTATTTCTAACTGATTTTTTCCTCTCCATTTTCATTTTTTAAAATCCTTGTTTAATGTTGAATGAAATTTGAGGCCCATGTAGTTCTGATATTGTTTGATGTATCCCCTCTGTATTGGCTAATTCAATCCAATAATGAGAATTTTTCTCTGCAAATTTACTGAAGTGTGTTTTAAATTCATCGGCTTCTTCACCTTGTAGCCCATTGGTCCCTTTATGGACCTAATTGTCTTTTTTGGTTTTTCTTTTCTGGTCTCTTTTTGTATCTGCTCTCGTTCATGTCTTAGTTCCAAGAGAAGAGAGAGGAATGTCTTATAGGAGATTGGATTGAAGGGTTTTTGTTAACAGGCCATTTGAATAGGAATTGGGGGATTTGCCTTCAGGTTTTTCGTTGTAACCTCAGCATGAAAATGCTAGTGAGTGCAGTCTTAATAAGAGAAGGGGAAAAAAAATTGGGGAAGAAGTTTATACAAGTTCGACACATTATAATGTAGCAATAAGGTGCACCTCAAAAATACACTGGAAAAGTTTATTTTGACCTTGGAAACCATCTAATTGATCATATCGACATTGAGATGTATGGATGTAAAAAAGAAAAAGATTTAATCCCTACTACCTCTTGTCATTTTTGGATTTCAAAATTCTATAGTTAGAGATGAAAATAGACTCTTAAGCCATCTTAGAAGTTTTTACTCCAAAATTACTTTGATTGCGTAGGTTGCCATCTAATACGAACCACACCCATTATGGAAACTGTCGCATATATTTATTCTAAAAACGAAAGTAGCTCTTTTCCTAGGAAATGTGGTTAGGTCAAGACACGGTGGAGGGTAGGTTTTCATAGCCCAATGTCTCCAGTTCCTAACCTTGTTGAAAAAAGTAGCTCTCTTCCTGGTTGGTTTGAATGGCGAAGGTATGTGTGGGTGTGCAAGACCAGAAATTCCTTAGTGCCTTTGTGGGATTCCGTTGCAGATCATGGTTTCTGAGAGACATACTGCTCGGCAATTTCATTTCGTTGTTGCTCCCTTCCCTGGACCTCTTTTTTTTTTTAAACCAGAGTACTTACTTCTCATTAATTAAAATGAAGATACAAGTCACTTATCAAAACAAAGTAGAAGAATGAATCCAACGAGGAACCTTTCTTCGCCAAATAATTTGCAACCCCATTAGTCTTTTTATACGCATGATGAAAGCTTACTGCCGAAGATGATGCTGTAACCACATGGATCTGGGGTGGTCTTGATATCTTGTTATTCCAACTAATTATTTATATTGAAAGAGTCACTTTTGATAATCAAAACATCACCAAGGCACCTTTCCTTGCAAATTAAAACCCCTTGCACATGAAATGCAATTTCAGCCGTACGAAACTACAAGGACCAAGCATAGCAATCCTCACTCTATGCAAACACCATCCATCCCTAGGTTACCAAGTGAACACCTATCAAACTTTAATTTAAAACACGCCACTACTACTACATGCGGCTGCCAAGTACTCTTTGGTCTAAACTTTTGGGAACGAAGCAAAATGAGGTTTGCCATATTGAGCACAATGTCTACTTTAAATGTCCCATGGCACTAAACAAACTCCAAACTGTATAAAGGATTCTGTTTTTAATTACTTGTGTTTCCAAATACATTTCATAAAAAGTTCTTCTTCTATTCTTTTTCAACCACAGTTCTCAAATAATAGCTCCTCTGAAAATGTCCCAAATCATACCATCAACTCTGGGAAAACCATAGATGTTGCCATATGTTTCTGGGAGTATGGAAGAATCAGTTCAACACCGACTTTTTCCATTGATGGCAGTCCCCTCTATGGGTATAGTGCCCCATTTTTCTTGGTTTCTGGATTTATTAAAGGGAAATTTCGCAAATTGCCTATTCACTAGAGATGAGCAATTTAACATTTTTCAATATCTTTTTATTTTAATTTCAAAATACCTATAACGAATTATATGGTCTTGAGTTGCAATAGTTGTAAATTTGTAATATGTCAAAAAAGGTATGGTTTGCATGAAGTTGCAACATTAAATAATCAAAGTAAGGTGCACCTTTGAACTTTATCATAAGATGTAATTTTGTTATAAAAAATTTGCAACATTAAATAATCAAAGTAAGGTGCACCTTCGAACTTTATCATAAGATGTAATTTTGCTATAAAAAATTTGTAGGATGGTGCAAGAATATATTTTTTATCTTAAATATAAAATTTTACACTCTAAAAATGGTTTAAATCAAGCATATTTATAAACATATGGAAATCTTAGATAATGATTTGCAAGATGTACTATTAGTAGGACTTGAAATATCTTTTGCTCTCTACATCTATACACCTCGATGTCGAGATGATCAATTAGATGTATTTCAAAACAACGTTTTTTTGAAGGATTTTAGAGGTACATCTTAATTCTGCATGTTAAATACTTCATCTCTAGCGGGTATATTCATAAAAATAAGTTATTCTTTATAAAAGAAATTAGGAAATAGAAAAATTCCTTTCTATTTTTTAAATTTAAAAGCAGTTCCATATCATCATCGTCATCCGCAGAGCCCTTTTTCTCATCCTCGGAGTCTTTTTTCCAAGTATTTGGGTCAGCTACACGAATCTTAATTTGTCATTCTGCTGTATCAAGGGTCATGCCCTCAATGAGGCCATAAGTCCCCATATCTTTTGTCACTACTTCCAACTATGTACTTTTGGGCCTACTCCTTGTCTTTTTTTAGCTTTCCACTTGAACTAACTCGCACATTCTAATTTGTGTTGTACTGGATTTGTGGTATACATGGCCAGCCCATCCAAATCTTAAAAGTAATTCCGTATATTTTATATTTTTCTTTCAAGTTTCATTTTTTATATGAATATTGTATTTTAATTATATTGTTTCTTCTATATATCGGATTGACCTTAAAATTTAGATATCCATACTTCTCACCGTATCTCACTTGTAAAAAATATTAACAAGATAAATTAATTTCAAGTAAAATACATAAATATGGTTATTTTATTTATTTTAAAAAATGTTTTTGCATTTTTCTTAAACGTGAGATGATGAGAAGCATCAACTCCTTAAATTTGAGCTCAATCTAATGTATAGTAAAGAAAATAAAAATAAAGTACAATATCAAAAATAAAATTAAAAATACTATATGAGCTCCTAAAAAAATGGGATTTAAGCATAAAATATTAAACATTGAGGACTATTTTTTATTTTAATAATAACATAGATTTTTTTTTTGAAATTGCCCTAATATTTGGGATTTTTCAGCATTTAGAGAATTTGGGGATTTTAAATATTTATAGAATTTGAGGATTTAAAGTAGTATTTATAGAGCTCCAACAACAATAAAGACTTGGGAAATTATAAAATATATACCTTTTTTTAAGATTACTAGAAATAAACTTCTAAAATTCAAAACCTCATCCATACTTCTTTTTTCTACTGTTTGCATTTTTTTGACGAAAATGCCTTTTTTGGTAGTCTTAGATCCGTAAGACATCATAGTTGACCAAGAACCATAATGTAATTTCAAACATCGTGTTGATTATTGGGTTATGTTTACTAGAGATTAAAGAGCATCACAACCTTTCAAACTTTGTGATGCCTCCTTTGACCATCCCGGTATTTAAACACCGTAATAGTTTTGAGCATATTGGAATATTAAAATCATCATGGTTTGTAGAGTGTCGTGATGCTTTTCTTGAACATCACGGCCTTTAAAACACCGTGATGGCTCTCTTGACCATCACAATATTTTAAATACTATGATAGTTCTGAGTGTACTTGAAATTTAAAATCATCACGGTCTATAGAGTACCATGATGCTTTCCTTAAACATCACGACCTTTAAAACACCATAATGTCTCCCTTAGCCATCACGGCATTTTAAACACCATGATGGTTATTTGGGTATTGAAACTTTAAGAGCATCACAATCTTTTTCTCCACGACCATCGTGGTTTTGGGTCGACCGTTTTGCCTTCACAAATCTAAGACTTTTATAAAAAAATACAAACAATGCAGAAAAGAGATATTGATGAGGTTTTGAAAAAATTAGCGTTTATTTCTAATACTCTAAAAAAATGTATTTTTTTTATAATTTCCCAAAAGATTTGCATACACAATACGTCCTAATCCATCTGTATACTATATCCTATGCATCTCATTTGGCTGAAAGACAGAAAAAGACATTAGTTGAAATAGTGAGGAACATGATGAGACATACCAGCCTCTCCTCGAATTTTTGGAGAGAAATGGTGATTAAAATAAATTACATCCTTAGTAGTGCTATGACGAAGGCTGTTGATTAGGTCAAATATGCGTTCGATGGAATTTATGGAATGAAAATACTCAAAATATGTAAAACTAGAGACACACTCAAATCACTTTCAAATTGGTGTTCTTTTGGCCTTGATCGTTTTATAGGATGAAAGATCACAACCTGAGGACAATTTTGACCAAATTTCAGGATGCTAGGAGTTGATTTGGATTGCTTTTTTTTTTGTCACAATATTTTTAGAAATTTTTTTAATAACAAATAAGAGCCACAATATGGAGGTTATATTATTAGAGACCAACAACATCGCAGAAGAAGCACCCTCTTAGCCCAAGCATCAACAACGTCATTGAACTCCCTATAAATATGTTGGAACGAAATCGTTAAAACAACATACAAATCCATAACTTGCAAACCCATTGCTCTTTATGCACCATTTTATCACATTCAAATAATTTCCTTCCACCAAACAAAAAAGACTTCCAATCTTCTCCTTAAAAAGCTTCAAGCCCTGCAAGAGAGAGGTTAAATCAACACGATTAGTTGTTGTAGATCCACAAGGTCCAACGTAACCAAAAATAATATTACCATTCCAATCTCTCACAAACCACCCCTACCCCCAAAGGTGCTGCCATCAAATTTTAAATTTTAGTTTGTAAAACCCTGTAACGGAGGTTGTGGTTTGACCCTTGGCCTAGCTTTCACCACCTTCATTTTCATCAAATTATAGAGGCTCAAGAACACATCAATCTCCGAGAGTCCCCATCCTTCCTTAGCAATTTGATGACCAGCATCATAATGAATGCTCGATATTATTCAACATTCTCTTAAAGGGCAATAAGATGCCTTCAAAATACCTCAAGTTTCTTTCCTTCCATATTACCCTATGGCTCCTCTGAGAAT